TATTATTTGGACAACATTTCATGCCATCTTATACTCTGAATAACTAGTATGAAGATGACAATATGCACTGCATAACTATTGTTACTCTACTAATAGCCTGTTTGGAAACTCTGTTATACTGTTTTTTTTCTCTTTAAAATAAAGTTGTACAGAAAAATTTTCAAATTTTAAGAGGGTTCCTAAGACTGTGCACCCTCAGGAACAAAATTCATGGCCTTTATCTGCCCTAGATGCAGGCTCACTTGGTCATCTGGGACTACAACTAGTAGTAGCATAATGAAAATCTAGCAGTCACAGCCACATTTGCCTCTAGCCAGAGAAAACCTAGAACCACTGTGCCCAATAAATATTTGCTGAAAGTATACAAATATAAAGACAAAAGACTTCTACTAGGTAACAAACACTGTAGAGACAAGGACTTGGGAAGATGAAGCAAGAGGATGTCTGTGAGTTCAAGGGCAAAATGAACCATACTGTGAGACCCTGTCTCAAAAAACTGAAAAAAAATATTTCCTGACCAGAAAAGAGCCTCCAGAACCATGCGCTAAAATAAACTTCTTTCTTTTTATCCAGTCTTGAGTATTATAATGACAGAAAACTAAGACAGATATGAAAAGATGTACACTGGGTATTGATTTCAACAAGTGACTCCTCAATATGAATAGCTCCTCTGAAAGGAAGACAGGGGTCACCTGGTGGGGGCTCCCTTCAGGCATAATGACAAATATTTCTATTGCTGTCCTGAGAATTTCCAATCTCTCCCCCAAAGAGGCAAATAGCTGCGAGAAGAGGAGCTCTAGTTAATACACTAGAGTGAAGTAGAAGAGGAAACGTCATTTTTCAGTATCTGCTGCATACCATGCAATGATCCTGAGGCATGAACAAATGTGCTGTGTCTAGGAGCAAGTGAGAGAAAAGGTTGGGTGCTAAGAAATGAAGGGTATTCTTCGGCTTGTACTGCCTTGGCAAAGTACAATTGGGCAGCTTAAACAATTGTAATGTGCTTTTTCATAATGCTGGAGGCAACTGTGAAAAGATCATTGAAAGTAAAGCTCACCAAAATCAAGATGCTAGCATGGGCCCTGCTGAGAGTTGTGGGAAAGTATCTGCCACATCACACCCCCACCTGCACTTCTAGGCATTCGCAGGTAATCATTGGCTTCTCTGGGCCTATAATAGAAACATCAGCCCTCTCTGCTTAATCTTCACATGAATATTCCCTTTGTATGTTTGCATCCAAATCTCCTTCAGCTTTTGGTGGTATTGGGTATAAGATAAGACCCATGGCATCATAAACATGTACTGTGCCACTGAGTTGTACTCCTCTGATAAGCATGTATTTTTTTCACAGTACTGGAGATTGAACATAGGGCTCTGACACTGAGTTATATCCCTAGCCCTTTTTCATTTGTATTTTGAGACAAGATCTTGCTAAGTCTCCCAGGCTGGCTTGAACTTCAGATCCTCTTGCCTTTGCCTTCCAAAGTGTGGGGATTATAGGAGAGTGCTAGCATATCCAGCCAAACTTTTCCTTCTCACGAGGACAATGCTCATGTTATATTAGGGGTCCACCTTCTCCAGTATAACTTTATTCTATTTCAGTTATACCTGTAACAACCCTGTTTCCAAATAAGGTCATTTTTTGAGATATTGGGAGTTAAG